CCCTTTAAGATACATATGGCGTGACAGTCAATAAATTTATCAGCTCTGCTTTATTGTAAATATTCCTTTATTCAATAAATAGGATTTACCAACTATGTCCTAGGCCCTGTGCTAGATTCTGGGCAAACAACAGTGAACAAAGTAGATGTTGTCCCTGCCTTTATTTACAGATTAGTAAAGGAGATAGACTAAAGTAAGTAAATAAATAAATGCATGAAATTACCAACTGTGGTTAAATGCTCTGACAGGCACAAAGAGAGTGCAACAACAGGGAGTAACAGAGCTGGCCTCTCTTGGGCAGTGGCATTTGTGTTGTAAAGGTGCTCTCCTTGTAAAGAGCAAGATGGGGGTGGAGAGAGCATCCCACATGGAGGGACCAGAGACCGGTAGGGAAAGAACTTACCAGTCAAGGAACTGCAACAAATCCCATCTGGGCAGAGCACAGGAGAGGGGAGGAGCTGTGGGACAAGATGAAGTGAGTGAGGCAGGCAGGGGACAGATGACACAGGGGTTTAAGGAATATCTCTGTTCCCTTCTCTCTTAGTGAACAGACTGAAATGTCAGGAACTAGGAAGCCTCTAGCAAGAAATATGCTAATAATTGAATCTTTGCCGGTACAGATGCACTCCTTAAAGTTTGCAAAGTTTATCTCGATATCCTCTACCCTTTAAGAAGTCCTTTAAACCACTATCAATTAACATTTTGGTGAGAATTAGTTTTCTGGACTCTTTTTATGTATTCAACAGTCATTGCATGCCGTCTTTGTGCCAGACAACCGTTTGGGGTGCTATATGTGTTCTGGGTGTTGAGGATTGGCACGCCCCATCTCTCCTCTCATGGAGCCCAGGTATGGTAAAGTGCTATGAGGTAAAATGACAGGGAGCCAATAAAAGTGTGTCACAGGTTCTGGCCTGACCTGAGCAAAGGAAGAAGGCTTCAAGGCAGAAGTAGCACTTAAGCAGGGAAGTGAATGATGCCAGGCTGGTTAACACGTTGGTGTGGGTATAGAGGGAGAAGGAAGAGGGGTATTCCAGGAAGAAAGGGTCCTATAGGTTCAGCATACTAGAGAAGCTTCAAGAAGTCCAATGTACTACCCCTGCAGTGGGGAGAGTGAAGGAGAGAATGGAGGAAAGGGAACCTGAGGGGTAACTGCAGTGGAGTGCAGGGTTTTGGATGTGCTGGTAAATGCATTTGGACTCTAGGAACAGAGAAAGTGTTAACAGGTTATAAGCAGATGAGTGATAGTATCGAGTCTGCATTAAAAAAAACAAAAACAAAAAAACAAAAAAACAATCACAGGCCGGGCGCGGTGGCTCACACCTGTAATCCCAGCACTTTGGGAGGCCGAGGTGGATGGATCATGTGATCAGGTGATCAAGACCATCCTGGCTAACATGGTGAAATGCGATCTCTACTAAAAATACAAAAAATTACCCAGACGTGGCACGTGCCTGTAGTCCCAGCAACTTGGGAGGCTGAAACAGGAGAATTGCTTGAACCTAGGAGGTGGAGGTTGCAGTGAGCTGAGACCATGCCACTGCACTCCAGACTGGCGACAGAGTGAGTCTCTGTCTCAAAAAAAAAATCATTACATATTGGTGTGGAGAAGGGGACTGGAGGTAAAGAAGAATGAACTCGAGAGAACATTCAGGAGATGATTACTGACATCTAGGCAAGAGACGATGGTGGCTTAGAAGAGAATGATGGCAGTGGAGATTCCTAATTGCAGAACCTACTTGATCTTTGCATCTATGCTTATTCACAATTCAGGTTGAATATAAAGCATTTAGCAATGGTATTTGGTATTATTCACATCTTGGGTATGATTTTTATTCCTTTTCAAGAAGCAGAATTTTATTTTTTATATAAGTGAAGCTAATTTCAACTTCAAGTCCCCATTCTTCTGGAAGCTAAACATTTGCTTTTAGTCAATTTGAGGTCTCTCCATTCCTTCCTCAGTATTACAGCTTAATTAGAAGAGGGAGGTCTGTTTGGATCTTGTACAAGGTGGGTGTGGGTGGATACTCTGGTCTCCTTGCTCGTGCATCTACTCTGGAATCCACTGACACACCCTTGGTCCCATGGAGCCTATGATTTACTCAGACTTCCGCTGTACCCTTTTTGTCCCATCTTGATACTTTTCCAGGTCCACTGATCCCTACACCATGTCTCGACTATTCTCTAAATGCTTAGAAAATGTCCTAATTCTTCTAAAACAATCTGGCTGTGGGTAACATCTGAGGCTGTCTCAGCCCTGCTACATCAACATGCCAAGTATACCTCTTCTTCTCTAGAACCCGGCTGGTGTGCAGGACCAATAGTTTCTTACTGGATCTTGGGAACAGATTCAAGAGATATTTAGAAGGAAAAAAAGGATTATCTTTGATGATTCATATATATCAGAGGTGAAGTTTCAGGAAGGAGTCCCCCCGCCTTTTTTTTTGTATGGGGAACAGGATGCTATCTTTTAATGAGACAGGAACCTTGGAAAAGGAGCAGATGTAGTGCATGGGCTGGAGTCATGAGGTCACTTTTGAACACAATATGTGTGAGATATCCAAAAAGAGAGACTGAGGAAGTAGTTGGCATTGAGGGCAGGGATCTGAAGCTTGGACGAGACGTCTGGGGTTGAGAATACACAGGTTTTTTGTTTGTTTGTTTTGTTTTGTTTTCTTTTCTTTTCAGTGTAAAATCGGGGGTAATGGAAGCCATGGGACAGACATCATGGGATTCCCTGGAGAAAGAGAATATAGAACAAAATGAGAAAAGGGATTGAGGAAATATCTCTGAGTAATATTTAAGGATTGGCTAGGAGATGGAAAACCTGCAAAATAATCATGGAGGTAAGAGGAAAACAAGGAGAATGTCATGAAACAAAAGCTACAGAAGTGAGTGCTTCCAGAGCGTAGGGGTGGTTAACAGTGTTAAATGCCACCGCCAAGAAGTCAAGTAAGATGAAAACTGAAAAGTATCCTTTGGATTTAGAAGTTACTGGTTATCTCAGAAAAAGCAGTTCCAAGGTATGAAAGAGGCAAAAGCCAAGTTGAAGAGTCTACTTTGAACATGTGGGGCATTCACAGAAACTTCAGAAATCATGCCTTTCTAGGAGAAGTAAACTGGCCCTGTAGTAAAGGTTACTCTAAATTCACTCCAACAAAGCTTAAGAACAAGTTTCCAAAGACTCAAGCTAATGCACAAGTAAATTAGTTGCCTGCTAGAAAAAACTCTACCACCCCTTAAGACAACAAATTCCAATGCTCAATAAAAAAATTTCAGTATCCAATAAGAAACTTACAGTATCCAATAAGAAATTACTATATATGAGAAGAAGTAGGAAACTGAGACCTATAACCAGGAGAAAAATTAGTCAATAGAAACAAATCCAGAAATGAAGAGATGATAGAACAGCAGATGAGGGGACAAGGACTTAAAGTTAGTTATTGTAAATATGTTCATGTATTTAAAGGAAAATGAATATAATGAGCAGTGGAAGCTATTAAAAAAATACTACAAGCAATCATATCAAAGTTCTTTTTTCATAAGACTCCCCCTCCAACCAATGCTATAACCAGCCCTCTCGCCTCTTTTCTGTAAAGTATTTTGTTTCATGTAACTTTGTACTTTTGGTTCTCTGTATGCAAGTATTTTAAAATTTTCTTGGGAAACATATCATATATATTCCTAAAGAAAGAATATATATTCTCTTGAAAGGTGCCAGAGAAGTAGGGAGGTGGGTATGATTGTGATTGAACTCCAGATGCCCCTCTGTCCTAAACAGCCACTGTTTGTAGGAAGTTTGAGACTTCCTGGTCTCCTACAGAGCAGCTGGCTGGGGCTCAAGGGACACACCTTGGTGTTTCAGGTCCATCTGTCTGATTGGCCCATCTGACCCTGAGGTGTAATAATCCTGAGCCTCACTGAAGCAGGTTGTCATAACTCCTTTTTTCCTCTTTTAAACCCTTCCTTGGGAGCTTTAAGGGCACCTTTTAAGGTACCCTTAAAATTAAAAGAGAAATATATATATATTTTTAAAAGAGAAATATTAATGAAAAGGAAAACATTAAACTTCAAGAACTCATATGAAATATTTGTGAAAATCTTTATCACAGCTAAGTTGGGCTTAAGTCAAATCAAACAATTTAGGATTAACGGAGAAGGGCTGAGTCTTCTCTCCTTGCTGCGCATCCGCATCAAGGAGGTGTAAGTTTTTCCTAAAGATATTCATCCCATTAACATTGATATCAAAGATGAATTTGCAAATTTGAAATCTCTCATATTGTCAGCTTTTCTAAATATGTTCATATGGTGGAGAACTCACGAGGCTTACATTACTTTAGTCCATGGATCACTTTATAAACACTACTAAGCTTAAACTTTAAAATTATAAATTATTGGACACATTTTTACTTAGAATTGTTAACTGGAAATTCATTTATTTCTGCCCTGTTCCATGCCAGTAAGGGAATTAGAGATCATGTTTTTACCTACTCCCCAGATGAAGGAAAATAGAAACGTGGGTCTCAGTTGAATGCACCAAGCTGTCATGCTCATATTTGGTGCCAGCTGGTCACCTGTTGGCAGTGCCAGTAGAGAGCCCTGGGACTAAATTCATCCTGCCTTCTACATCCAACATCAATAGACCATCTCTGTCAGAACGTCTATTCCCCGTGCAAACCACTTCATTAAATAGAAAACCTCTCTTTTTAAGTGATGTCTAGTTATCAGCTTGCATTTTAATATCTAACAAATTAAAAACTACATTAACTTTGAGGCAATATTTTTCCATTCTATGCTGTTTTAAGAGACACCCATCTTCTTGCAACAGAGCACAATTTTGTCTCACAAACACACAGCTGAAAAGGGCAGTGACAAAAGTAAGAATACAAAAATGAAACAAGTCACTTCACATATCTTTATTAGTTATTACTTCTATTAGTGCATTTTATGTCATAGATATTTTGTTCCTAAAATCTCATCTTCTTTATTTTTCCTTCACCTACCTTAGTTCTTATTTTATCCTCAATGGGCATGTCTCCACCATGGAAGGAAGATGAAGAAATAGAAAACTGGTCACCAGGACACTGTAAAAAGCAAGTGACACATCATTAGAAACACAGTCATTTAACAGATCAGGCTGAGAATATATCATTAACAACCCAGACAGAAGATCATCATCTTCCATCATCATTTGAAATTAAAAAGTACCTCCAAAGGAATTGTTTACTGCTTCGCCTGCAAAAAGTGCTACAAACAGTAAACCAAAGAGACAAAACAGCCTTTAGTGGATTGTTAGAGCACTTAAGGAGGTGTAAATTGTAATTAGCCATATGCTAGACTTTCACAGTCCAATAAGAAATATGCCTGATGGTACAGCATCTCCCTGGCCCAGTTTTTCAGGTCAAAAGCAGAATGGCTGTTCAGTAAGGAATAAGCCACAAAGGAGAGCTACAAAACTGTTCCATTCTCTGGCATCCAACACAACAGGTCAGAACTCTTTCTGCACATGTTTGTGATGGCAGTCATGTTGCTGAGTTGCTCTGGATGCCCACCTAGAGTTTCTGTGTTCGAAGGTGGGAGGGAAGGCCCTGTTCAGCTCAAGTGGCAACCCTAAAATCATTGTGGGTCACAGGACACATTAACCCTGTTCACAAAGGAATCAGAGCGCAAATGTGTTACAAAGATAATGCTGTTCTATGTTAATATTGACAAAGTGGTTCAGAGCTGGGGACCTATATATCTGAGAGTGGTCTCAGGTACTGGCAGAACAAAACACAAACTTTTGAGAACTTGGTTTCATGTACTTCTCTGTTGACTGTGTGACTTTCAGTATGTCTCTTAACCATCTTTAGCATATTTTTTAACTTCCCATAGCCTTAATTTATCATTTTTATCATATGGGGGTTGGACTTGGTGATTTTTTTAAAAAGCGGCATTCAAAATATATTTGTGTATGAGTGCACATTTTCCTGTACCCTCATATTTCTGAGAAATCCCATCACTTTAATTGGCTTTGCAAAAGGTTCAGGGACTAAGAAAAGATGAAGGAATAATCTTGGCTCTGGCAGATTAACTGTAGGAGTAGAAAATGAAACAGAATATTCAAAGTCTTGTGCTGGAACAAATAACTTTCAGGATTTGATTTGCATTGTTTGGCTGAGAATAAGATGCTTCTTATGCAAATGAAGACTGATAAAGGATGAGTTTATATTGTTTAAAATGCAATATGATCTTTTGGCTCAAAGAGCTGTATGCCAGTAAATTAGGGATTAATTTGGTTCTGAAAATCATGCAAATTCTCTTTGTGAATTTGTGCATTAATGTAACTTTCTACTAAGTGATTTTCACTAGAGGGAGATAAGATTTGGCTACATTCTTAAGGCAGCTAAACACAGGGACAAGAGCCATGAGAAAGAAGAAGACTTAATGGATATCATCCTTATAAAAATCTATTTGGTTCACATTGCTATCGGTTTTTTGGTTTATTATTTTATTATTAATTTTGAGACAGAGTCTTGCTTTGTGACTCAGGCTGGAGTGCAGTGGTACGGTCAGGGCTCACTGCAATGTTGACCTCCCTGGCTCAAGAGATCCTCCCACCTCAGCTTTCCAAGTAGCTGGGATTACAGGTGCATGCCACCGTGCCCGGCTAATTTTTTAAAATATTTTGTACAGATGAGGTCTCATTATGTTGCCCAGGCTAGTCTTGAATGCCTGGACTCAAATGATCCTTCCACCTTGGCCTCCCAAAGTGTTGAGATTACAGGCGTGAGTCATAAGGCCTGGATATCACATTGCTTATGTTTTTATTTCATGATCAGATAATAGAGCAAGTGTGCAATTTCCACAATCTACAACTTCATTCTCTTTCTCCTTGCCATCACCCCACCCATCCCACCTAGAACTGCTGCCAAGAAGGAAAAGTCTTCACTGGAATGCAAGCTCCACAAGCGAGAATTTTTGTCAGGTTTAACACTGTATTATCTCTAGAACAGTGCTCAGTACAGAGTAGGTCCTCAGCAACCATGTGTTGAATGCATTCCAATACTGATGATTTTCAGAATGGTTTAGGATTTGTGACCTCTCCTTTCTGAGCCTGAGTAGATTAAGTGTATCAAACTTGATTCTCTGTAATCTACTTAGGTTTCCTATTTTCTAAAGGCAATGGAGAGGGAGAGAGATCATTATGGCAGACGGGAGGCAGAACTAGATGATTCAGATGGACAGAGCAGCGTGCGGAGGCTTGCGTTGTGAATTTCAGCTCCAGATCGACTGCAAGAACAAGCCAGCAATCCCGAGAGGATCCACAGACCCTCTGAAGGAAGCTGACTGCTCCTGCAGGACCCAGGAGATACCCCAAATACTCAGCCACAGCAAGACCCCCACAAGGAGAGTCTGAACTCAGACAGGCCTAGCCCTGACCCCACCTGATGGTCCTTCCCTACCCACCCTGGTAGCTGAAGACAAAGGTCATATAATCTTGGGAGTTCTAGGGCCCCACGCACCATCCATTCCTCTCCATACTACCTACCATAGCTGATGCTCTCTGGAGGAGGCCAACCAGCACAAAAATAGAGCATTAAACCACCAAAGCTAAGAACCTTCATGGAGTTCATTGCACCCTCACTGGAACAGGCTCTGGTATCCATGGCTAAGAGACCCAGAGACAGTTTTACATCACAGGACTCTGTGCAGACAACCCCCAGTACCAGCCCGGAGCCAGGTCTCCCTGGGTGGCTAGACACAGAAGAGAGACAACTATCACTGCAGTTTGGCTCACAGGAAGCTACATACATAGGAAAAGGGGGAGAGTACTACATCAAGGGAACACATCGTGGGACAAAAGAATCTGAACAACAGCCTTCAGCCCTAGACATTCCCTCTGACAGAGCCTACCCAAATGAGAAGGAACCAGAAAATCAACTCTAGTTACAAGGCTCTTTAACACCCCCCAGAAATCACACCAGTTCACCAGCAATGAATCCAAACCAAGAAGAAATCCTTGATTTACCTGAAAAAGAATTCAGAAGGTTAATTATTAACCTAATTAGGGAGGCAACAGGGAAAGACAAAGCCCAATGCAAGGAAATCCAAAAAATGATACAAGAATTGAAGGGAAAAATATTCAAGGAAAATAGCTTAAAGAAAAAAACAGTAAAAAATTCAGGGAACATTGGAGACACTTATAGAAACGCAAAATGCTCTGGGAAGTCTCAGCAACAGAATTGAACAAGTAGAAGAAGGAAATTCAGAGTTCGAAGACCAGGTCTTCGAATTAACCCAATCCAACAAAGGCAAATAAAAAAGAATAAGAAAATATGAACAAAGCCTCCAAAAAAAGTCTGGGATTATGTTAAGTAACCAAACCTAAGAATAATTGGTGTTCCTGAGGAAGAAGAGAATTCTAGAAGCTTGGAAAACATTTTGGGGGAATAATCAAGGAAAACTTCCCCCACCTTGCTAGAGACCTAGACAACCAAATACAAGAAGCACAAAGAACACCAGGGAAATTCGTCACAAAAAGCTCATTGCCTAGGCACATTGTCATCAGGTTATCTAAAGTTAAGACGAAGAAAAGAATCTTAAGAGCGGTGAAAGAAGCACCAGGTAACTTACAAAGGAAAATCTATCAGATTAACAGCAGATTTCTCAGCAGAAACCCTATAAGCTAGAAGGGATTGGGGCCCTATCTTCAGCCTCCTCAAACAAAACAATTATCAGCCAAGAATTTTGTATCCAGTGAAACTAAGCATCATATATGAAGGAAAGATACGGTCTTTTTCAGACAAACAATCGGTGAGAGAATTTGATACTGCCAAGCCACCACTACAAGAACTGCTAAAAGAAGCTCAAAATCTTTAAACAAATCCTGGAAACACATCAAAACAGAAACTCTTTAAAGCATAAATCACACAGGACCTATAAAACAAAAAAACAAGTTAAAAGGCAAAAACATCAAAAAATCCAAGGTACACAGGCAAAAAATAGCACAATGAATGCAATAGTAACTCACATCTCAATACTAACATTGAATGTAAATGGCCTAAATGCTCCACGTAAAAGATACAGAACCTCAGCATGGATAAGAACTCACCAGCCAACTACCTGCTGCCTTCAGGAGACTAAACTAACACATAAGGACTCATATTAACTTAAAGTAAAGAGCAGGGGGAAAGGCATTTCATGCAAATAGACACCAATTGTGAGTGGGGTAGCTATTCTTATATCTAACAAAACAAACTTTAAAGCAACAGCAGTTAAAAGAGACAAAGAGGGACATTATATAACAGTAAAAGGCCTTGTCCAAGAGGAAAATATCACAATCCTAAACATATATGTGCCTAACACTGGAGCTACCAAATTTATAAAACAATTACTAATAGACTTAAGAAATGAGATAGACAGCAACATAATAATAGTGTGGGACTTCAGTACTCCACTGACAGCACTTGACAGGTCATCAAGAAAGAAAACCAACAAAGAAACAATGGATTTAAATGACACCTTGGAACAAATGGACTTAATAGATATATACAGAACATTTCATCCAACAACCACAGAATACACATTCTATTCAACAACTCATGGAACTTTCTCCAGGATAGACCATACGATAGGCCATAAGAGTCTCAAAACATTTAAGAAAATTGAAATTATATCAAGCACTCTCTCAGACCACAGTGGAATAAAAAGGGAAATCAACTTCAAAAGGAACCTTCAAAACCATGCAAATACGTAGAAATTAAATAACCTGCTTCTGAATGAGCATTGGGTCAAAAACAAAATCAACGTGGAAATTAAAAAATTCTTCAAACTGAATGACAGTAATGACACAACCTATCAAAATCTCTGGGATACAGCAAAGGCGGTGCTAAGAGGAAAGTTCATAACACCAAATGCCTATATCAAAAAGACTGAAAGAGCACTAACTGATATTCTAAGCTCACACCTCAAGGAACTAAAGAAACAAGAACAAACCAAACCCAAACCCAACAGCAGAAAAAAAAAAAACAAAAAAACCCAACATGATCAGACCAGAACTAAATGAAACTGAAACACACAAAAAAATACAAAAGGTAAATGA